TTGCTGAGGATAATGGCTTCCAGCTCCATCCATGTCCCTGCAAAGGACATGATCTCATTTTTTTATGGCCGCATAGTATTCCATGGTGTATATGTACCACATTTTCTTTACCCAGTCTATCACTGATGGACATCTGGGTTGATTTCATGTCTTTGCTATTGTGAATAGTGCTGCAATGAACGTGTATATGTATGTATCTTTATAATAGAATGATTTATATTCCTTTGGGTATATACCCTGTAATGAGGTTGCTGGGTCAAATTGTATTTCTGGTTCTAGGTCTTTGAGGAATAGCCATACTGTCTTCCACAATGGTTGAACTAATTTATATTTCCACCAACAGTGTAAAAGCATTCCTATCCTCCACAGCCTCACCAGCATCTGTTGTTTTTTGACTTTTTAATAATAGCTATTCTGACTGCTGTGAGATGGTATCTCACTGTGGTTTTGATTTGCATTTCTCTAATGCAGTGATGTTGAGATTTTTTTCATGTTTGTTGGTTGCATAAATGTCTTCTTTTGAGAAGTGTCTGTTTATGTCCTTTACCTACTTTTTGATGTTTTTTTTCTTGTAAATTCACTTAAGTTTCTTGTAGATTCTGGATATTAGACTTTTGTCAGATGCTAGATTGCAAAAATTAAGAAAATGATTTTTATTGGTCACAGGCAACAATAGAAGGGACAAGACACTTTTTTTTTTTTTTTAAAAAAAACCTTTTAATTTAGGAATAATTTTTAACTCACAGAAAAGCTGTAAGAATAGTACAAAGATCACATCCGAATTTCTCCAATTTTCATGGTCATAAACCTTACAGGAAAAGGCTGTAACTCAGGATCACATGTTGCACTCACTTGTATCTCTTTAATCTTCTTCAATCTGAACAGTTTCTCAATCTTTCGTTGAATATTATGACCTTGATGTTGTTGAAAATTGCTGCCTCGAAATTTTGTAGAATATCCCTCCATTTGGTGCAGTCCAGTGTCTCCTCTGGATTAGAGCTGGTTTCCATGTATTTTCACTGAATTATCACATATGTGGTAGTGTGTTCTGTTACCTCTTATCAGTTGGCAGATTGATGCTGATTTCTCTCATGGCTTGTGACACTGACTTTGATCACATGATTAAGATGCTATCTTAATAGCCAGGCTCCTCTGCTATAAAATTACTTTTGTTTCCATTTGCAATCAGTCAGTACATATTTGATGTGGAGATAACATTGAAACTATTTAAGGTCTCATTCTTCATCCACTTGCCTACTTAAGTTTTAACATCTATTGATGTTTCCTGCCAGAATAGAGGACTGCTGAGAGGTGTTTTTCAAATGTCATTTTTTTTTTTTTTTTTTTTGCATTTATCAGTTGGCATTCTACTGTGAGGTAGTTGTTTCTCTTTCATATATGCATATGTGTACATATGTGTGCATGGTTTTAAAACATTATTTATGTGCCTTCTCATGAATTCCTGTTTTATTTTTTATTTATTATTATTTATTTATTTTTTATTTTTTTAAATTTTTTAAAATTTTTTTTGTTGAGACGGAGTCTCGCTCTGTCACCCAGGCTGGAGTGCTGTGGCTGGATCTCAGCTCACTGCAAGCTCCGCCTCCCGGGTTTATGCCATTCTCCTGTCTCAGCCTCCCAAGTAGCTGGGACTACAGGCGCCCGCCACCTCGCCCGGCTAGTTTTTGTATTTTTTTAGTAGAGACAGGGTTTCACTGTGTTCGCCAGGATGGTCTCGATCTCCTGACCTCGTGATCCGCCCGTCTCGGCCTCCCAAAGTGCTGGGATTACAGGCTTGAGCCACCGCGCCCCGCCGAATTCCTGTTTTATTCAATGAGTTATAATGCATTGCTATCATTATTGTCTTGATGTCCAAATTACCCTGGATTTGGCCACTGACAGCCTCATCAGCCTGGCTTCTGTGTTTCCTGCGCATGTGCCCATTATTGTTTGAGCATATTCTCATTTCCCGCCACATCAGGATACTCCAGGGCCATCTTGTGCTTTCCCTGCTAACCCCTGAACCAGGCATTTTTCCTTGCGGTAATGAAAAATGCTATTTGGAAGCCAAGATCTCAATGTAGGTGTGCCTTTGTTACCAAGGGGTCCTTGTCCCCAGGTACCTTTTGCGGATAGCATTAGGAAATATATTTCACCATCTATCTCTATATCTCCACACACATACACACATCGATGCATACATCTGTAGTTCTTTCCACATTTATCAAGTTAAATTGAAAACCATGAGTTCACACCAACGCCTCCCATTTCAGGCCCACAGCACTCATTCATTCCAGCCTTTCCCTTTTCTGCATTTGTGAGGCTTTCTCCCCACAGTGAAAGACTGGCGCCACCATGCCCGGCTACCAATGAAGAACCTAACTCCTTGTTTACTATTTACTCAATCCCCTCCCAGAGGCTAAGCTTCCACCTTCCACCCTGCTGGGTGGCCATCTATTCAGACCCCTGGGACAGCCCAGGCCTCTGCCCGGCTGCCTCACAACTCCGTCCCCAACTTTCTGGTGTTTTCTTTTGTTTGTTTATAATGTGGGAGCTATGTACTATAAGATGTGTGAAAGACTTCAACAGGAAAATGAGTATTTGCAGCATTTTAAAACCTCAGAATTCTAGAGAAGGCAAGAATGTTAGGAATAGACTATTAAGAAGGAAGCTGTGTCTGGAAATTAAGGCAGGCTTGGGTGTTGGGGGTCTCTATCCCAGCACCCCAGAGCTCAGCAGTCAGCTGTGCCTCGCGGAGATCCGCAGGCCCCCTTCTATGCTCCATATTGTAATTTGAAGATTGGTATTTATGCTCTGTACAAACAATTTCATTAGCAAACTCAGATTAATGACAGTTGTGCCTTAAGTCTTACAGATTGTTTAATGGATGGTTGCTGAACCTATTAAAATCTGTAGCAATTAAAATAGAATCTGTCTGTTGAATGAGATAAAGTTGCTATTCTGTATTTGTCTTAATTCTTTTGTTCTCATTCATTATCTTGCAGAGCACACTCACCCTGTGTCCTAGAGACATTCTCAGGTGTTTAGGTCAGGGGTTGCCCTGCCATTGGGAATCTGAAGTACTCCTTTAGGGTGTCTTCTCTGGTCTGGCCCTGGTAGGAACAGATGCTTGAATGATCTATCTGGAGAAGACACCTGGGAAGAAGCCAACCCCTAAGAGAACACTAGAATCCCCTTTTTAAATACAAAAGGGGAACCTGCACTCTTGTGTAACAGGTGCTGTAGCTCCTGCAAGGAGACGGCAGCAGGTGAAGGACAGCGTCCTCCCAGGGTGCCTGGCAGATGCGTGGTCACCCTACACAACTGCTGCTGAATGCCCTACTGGCCCCAGGGACCCCAAATACTCCCCAGCAAGGCCTTCCTGCCCTCCTCTTCTAGGGAAGGCAGGCCAGAGCTGGCTGCAGTCATTTATGTGGAATGCAGGCACAATTCAACACAGGCAGGAGGAACCCCCCAGGGTGCCTCAGATGAACTGCTAGTGGCTCACAATTAGGAAGACTTTCCAAGGGAAGGGAGGAAAGAGGACTGTGTCTGGATGAGGGGGAAGGTGTGAAACCAAGACCTGGCAGCCTGGGGGTACTGGGCTGCCTGAACTATGGGCCCCTCTCACCTCCCCCATGGTCCTGGAGCCAGCCTGCTGTGGGCCTGGGGAGCTGTGGGAGTTCAGGAATCTGTGTCCTGGTCACACTTCTGACACTTGGTTGTCCTGATCACACTTCTGACACTTGGTTGACGTCTCTGTCAGCAGGTGGGGGCTGGAGGATTACCTGGGGTGGGGAATTCCTACCCAGTCCACTTTTGAAATTGGTGCTCAGGGGCCCTGCTGCTTGAGAGGCTGACCTTGGGGGATTCCATGTGACAAGAGGTAAGAGAATAGATGCCTTAGGGTGTGTGACCCTTGTGAAGCAGGCCCCATGAAAGTCACTCTGCATTTATTGGTACTCACAGAAATCGAGTTTAGACTCAGTGCTGTCTGACAGAAATAGAATGTGAGCCTCAGATGTAACGTTAAATTTTTTGGTAGCTACATTTTTAAAAGGTAAGAAAGGAACAAGTGAAATTAATTTTAATGTGATATTATTGTTATCCCAATATATCCAGAATATTAACCTATCAATATTAATCACGTGAAATTATTAAGGAGATACTTTGCATTTTTCTTTTCATACTAAGCCTTTGAAATCTGGTGTGCATTTCACACCCAGAGCACGTCCCGGTTCACACCAGCTGCATTTCAAGGGCATACCCAGGGAATGAGGATGGGCTGGACTCTTTACATTTTGGATCTAACTAAAAATGAAGAGATGGGCTTCCAGAGACTGTGTGTCCAAACCACAAGTGACTAAACCCTGGTTATGCTGGGAGAATCTGGGAGACAGCTCATCAAGAAATGTTATCTGTCCATCATTACAGCAGTCAAACCATGATACTGGATTGCCTTATGTGTGTAAAGTCCTCTAGGCCTTTTGTGTGTCGGGGGGTGGGGGGCGGGCGGGCGGCTGTGCAATAATAAAATATGGCTCTGATAAAAGGTCTTAGATTGAACTAAAATGAGCTGAATGCCCACTACTAGGTTTATGAACTGTGTCTACACAGTTACACCTTCCTAGGCCAAGACAGGAGTTCTTTACTGGTTGACAAATATTTCACCATCTTGTGTAGTATTTTTATCAGAAGATTACAGATGTTTTGATTAAAACACTACACAAGGTTTAAAAAAATACTACACAGAAGGTTTAAGATGGAACACTTCGTGACATTATTTCTAATATTTTTGTATATTATGTAAATTTAAGACTCAATCTTGTTGTGAAAGACAGAATACGCTGGATGATTAAGGAGATGATTTATTTAGGCTGTTGGAATAGGGGAGAAGTTTCATCAGTGAGGGCTCAGTGAGATTCATCACTACCAGGGATCAACACTCACTCTTCCCTTTAATGCGACCTTTACACTCACATTTCTCTTCATTATTTTAGGCATTCCTCTTTCAACAAGATTGGCCTTCAATGTATTAACACTCTGGACTGTGCCACCACCTCTCAACAGGTGATTGAACTGATTCACAGGAATACCACCAGCGAAAGTCCTGGTAGAGTATTTCTCAGACCCACTTCACCTCACTCAGGAAGATGATGACTAACCTTGGTGAATATTGTTCACTAATGATGATCTTCATTCCTCTTGAATAAGAGGGAAGAATGACAAGGTTGAACTTTATCTTGTCCTGCAATACAACAATTGATGGTCAAGAAATCCTCCTCTACCCTCAAAGTAAATCATCATATAAGACACCTGCTTTTATGTTTATTGCAGCACTATTTACAATAGCAAAGATCTGGAATCAACCTAAATGTCCACCAACACCATCAACAGGAGACGGGATCCAAAAAGAAATGTGAGATATACATATAGATATACATATAGATATACATATACATACACATACATACACACACACACACACCCCATAGAATACTATGCAGCCATAAAAAATAATGAAACCATGTCTTTTGCAGCAACATGGATAGAACTGGAGGCCCTTATCCTCAGTGAAATAACTCAGAAGAATAAAGTCAAATGCTGCATGTTCTCACAAGTGTGACCTAAAAATGCATACCCATGAACACACAAAGTGGAAGAATAGACCTTGGAGACTCAGAAGGGTTGGAGAGTGGGAGGATGGGTGAGGGATGAAATACCACCTACTGGGTACAATGTACACTATCTGGGTGATGGTTACACTGAAGGCCCAGACTTCACCACTTTGCAATGAATGTATGTAAGAAACCTGCACTTGTACCCCTAAACATGTTATAAATAAATAAGATATCCTCATCCTCTTCTACCGTTTTGTGATCTGAGAGAGAAATGGACAGCCCCACAGGACACCCTGCCCTCCCATATTCCGAGATAAGACTCTCCTCTAGCCTGGCTCAGTGGCTTGGAAGACCTGGCTCCTCTCCCTTATGAATCCCAGGAGACTCTAGACAACTCCCTGTTTAACTGCTTTAACATCCCAGGCTCTTGTCCTTTCTCAGTGGGTTCCAAGCCACTAGGCAGCCCCATTCCCTGAGTTTCTGCAGTTCCTGAGCCAGGCTGCTGGTGTTCTTGTGATGCTGTGCACAGGTATGGTTACCTCTTGTACAAGGGTGTGCATGACCTAAGCATTCTGCTCAACTTCCTTCTGACCTGTCCAGGGGAATCCAGCCCATGCCGGGTCTGCTGTGGGGTGGGGCTCTGGGAGGTTTGGATCAAGTCCAAAGGCTTCAGCTCACTGAGCTTCTGCCATTCTAGGCAAGGGCCACCTGGAGTTCTGTCACCTAGGCAAAGGCAGCCTGGAGTTCAAGGGGATCTGGACATCAGGCTTGAATTCTCAGTGACACCAAGTCAGGAGGGAGGGAGAAAAATGGAAACTGTTTGCTTGGAGAGTTTTAGCCAGACACTGAGGGAAACTGACAATCTGAGTAAGGTGACAGGGTCTGATTTAATTGATAAGTAGGTATCAATACCTTCTTCAAAGTAGGAGGAAGTCAATTCTTTGCCAGATAAGACAGAGAATGCATATTCATCAGGTACCTCGATTTACAAAAGGAGGGAAGAAACAGCCCACAGGCAGGGCCAGAGTTCGATAAACTCAGGTAGTGCTATAGTTTTCTACTCAAACACACAATTCTCTTTAGCGATCCCCCTTTTGATTAAAGATAATATGAAAGAAAGCTTGTTCTTGATCACAAAATAAGGCTGGTTTCATTAGATTTAGCCTACTTATTTATGGAGGTGTTATAGGAGTGTTAAATTTGCTGGCCTTAAGTTTGCTGTTCTGGACGTTTTCATAAAGAATCTCAGATTGGATTTCTTAAAGCCTCTTGATGCTAGGCAGGCAAAGCTAGATCAAACCACTAGATTTCACTTGAAATATCTATAAATTTGGTCAAATTCTTCTCTTCTTGAGGTCCCCACCCAAGCTGTCCTAATGTTCTTGGGCTGTCCAGGAAGCAATCTTTGCTCATCTGTAAGGCTGAGAACATATTTGCCAGGTACCACACCAGTATTCCTGGGAGAGTTTGTAAACATTGGCTCCATATAGTCAATCTTAGTTCCTCAAAAGTGTCTGTTCATATCTTATTAAAAGACCATTATTCTCAAATACGACATTTCAGTCATGGCCTTTGTTATGGAACCAGTGTTTTCAATTTTGTCTTGTTACAAGGAGGACAGATTCTTATCCAACCTAGACAAACAATTATATTACCATGAAAAGTAAGAACACTCAATAAAAGTTCTGACTTCTGGAGGGCCCAGACAAGGAGAATAAAATATCACTTATAAATGCTTTATTTCCACTTACAAAAACAGAGTCTACTAAATTGTTAGTTCCAGATAGCTTAACTATCTGTAAAAACACTTACCTTATGTATTCAGAGAATAGAATATTAAAACATCAATAACATTCTAAGCAAAAACCACAGTCGTTCCTCATCTGTTCATTCAGCCGTATGCAATTAATTCTTGGATCTTGGGTCAGCAGTCTCACAAATCCATCTACTTCTCAACTAGAGTCTTGGAAATCCTGACTCAATCCACAGACATCGTTTAGGCAATGCCATCAGAGATCCGCACCTAAACAGATACCTTTTCCACAGGGTTCTGAGAAGTCTCTTTTTTGAAACCATAGCACCTTGGCCTATAGCTGATTGTAAAGCTTTCAAAGAAACATCAGAGTAAAAGAAAAAAAGAATATGTAGACGAAGAAAGACTTACAATGGCTGTGGTTACCTTATTACTGACCATTTTCAAAAGTGAAAGTCTGATGAGAGTTCATGACAAGAATGATCCAACCAACAGGGAAATTGTGCTGTTGCTGTGGCATATGCAAAACACGGTAGTAAAATCAGTCCAAGTAAACTTAGATAAAATACCCACAAACATAGACAACCCTATTTTCAAAGAAGAAAGGCTGTCACATCTAATTTATTAAAATGGATTAACATGATTTTTGTGGAGACAATATCTTCAGATACAACATATAATAATACTGACATAATATATTAGAGCATATAGTTAAAAATATATCAAGAATATATGAAGTGCAAAGAGACTCAGGAAGGAGCAGGTCCTGAATGTCTGTACATTATAAAACTTCATGGGTAAGTGATGTGAAAGCCCCAGTTGAAAACCACTGACTGAGCTAGAATGGGAATGATTAAAAAGTCAGGAAACAACGATGCTGATGAGGCTGTGGAGAAACAGAAATGCTTTTACACTGTTGGTGGGAATGTAAATTAGTTCAACCATTGTGGAAGACAGTGTGGTGATTCTTTAAGGATCTAGAACCAGAAATACCATTTGACCCAGCAACTCCATTACTGGGTATATACCCAAAGGATTATAGATCATTCTACTGTAAAGACACATGCACATGTATGTTTATTGCACCACTATTCACAATAGCAAAGACTTGGAACCAATCCAAATGCCCATCAATGATAGGCTGGATAAAAAAATGTGGCACATATACACCATGGAGTACTATGCAGCCATAAAAAAGAATGAGTTCATGTCCTTTGCAGGGACATGGATGAAGCTGGAAGCCATTATTCTCAGCAAACTAACCCAGGAACAGAAAACCAAACACTGCATGTTCTCACTCATAAGTGGGAGTTGAACAATGAGAACACATGGACACAGGGAGGGGAACATCACAAACTGGGGCTTGTTGGTGAGTGGGGGCCAAACCATATCAGGTGTTAAGGAAATGAAAGAGAATTGTTTTCTTGAGGTGGTGGGGTCAGGACTGAGTTGAATCCCCAGTGTGCAAGGTAAAGGCACCAGCCTTCCAAATGACCATCAGAGAATAGAATCCTTACCAGCTCCTGCTGCCTGCTGCTCAGTTGTAAGCCAAGCCCTAAATGGGGTTTTCCATGCAAATTTAATTTAATTACCCAAGGCTTACCTTACCCAAGGTTGCATGTGTCTGTGGCAGAGCCGGAAGTTCAGTCTGTAAGGTCCATGCCCTTCTCGATACATGACATGATTTCAAATGGTAAACTTTCTTCCCTGAATCTCCTACTCCAACACCTCCCAACTTCCTCTATCTCTGCTCCTAGCCCCAGTCATTGAGGGCTGTGCTGATTTTGACTTGGAAAAGTAAGGAATCAAAAACCATCACTTCAAAGGCTGACCATGAGGGCTGCTGTGAGGTGTTCAGGGGGACAGCATGAGAGCTTCTCCCCCTGGAAATGTTTCCCAGACTTTTCCAGAGAAGGAGTCCAGCAGACAGACGGACTGGCCCCCTTGGGGGATGTGCAGCAAAGTTAACTGGGTAGCCAGGTGCAAACTCAAATACATCTTGGAGGCCTTTGTGTCAATCTTATAAAGGCCTCTTTGCAGTGATATTATTGTTTTCTATCATGTCGGCTAATTACTCAGTAAATAAGGTCCTCTAGGAAGTAGTGCTATATTTATCCAATGGCCTTGTGTCTTTCCATGATCCCTGAAGAAAACCTAGATGAAAACTTTTCTAGCGCTTTCCTGTGGGGCCCAGCCCCAAGTATGTTCTCAGGAAGAAATCGATAACCTTCATTTATTCATGCTGCAATCATTTGCTCATTCGCTTGCGACTTCCTGTTGTCTGCTGGGCACTGTGCCTCCTAGTGAGTAAGAAATGCTGTCTGTCCCTAGTCCCTGGGGTTGGTAGGAGTGTGGCACAGCCCAGGGTCAGGTGCACGGAGCCGACGCGCCTAGCAGGGCCGGCCTGCCTAGCAAGTCAGGAAGGCCTTTTCAGGGTCTGGTTTATCTCAGCTGAAATGTACAGGAAGAGTAGACGTCAGTCAGGTGGAAAAGGGCAGAGAGAGCACCGTCCAGGCAGAAGGGAGAGCCTGAGCAAGGGGCCCGTGGGACTGAGTGCTGCGTCTCACCGCAGAGGGGCATGAGGACTGTGCTGGGCACGATGGCTGGGGGCGGTGCGGGCCGACAGAGTCCCCAGACCAGGTCTGGGGTCCGGGCCTTCCATGGAGAACAAGGAGTCATTACAGAGGCTCAGTGTCGCGTGGCGAAAATGAGGTTCTTCTGGGAAATTTAGGCTGCAGGATGTGACTGGTCTCCAGCAGGGAAGGCCTGGCAGGCAGCGAGAGCTTCCGGACTGGACCCCAAGAAGGAGGTCAGGCTGGGAACACAGACTGGGAGGTTCCCAGTCCGCAGATGGTACCGAGGCTACTGTGTCGGGTCAGATCTTCCAGGGTACGGGAGGAGGGCGGCGGCTGAGGGAAGCAAGCCCAGAGCTGCCAGCCCGGGACCAGCGGGAAGCCAGGGAGCAAGGCCAGGGCGGAGCCAGTCAGGACCCCAAATATCAGAGGCTCAACTAAAGTTGGAGTCAGCTGTTTTATCTGTTAATCAATATATTTTTCTCTATATTTCTTTCCATTTAGATTCTCCACTTCAGAAGATTTATTGTTTT